GTGAAGTGACCGCTGGCTTCTTTGAAGTGGCCACCCTGGCTGCCTTTGAAGTGGAGCTGCCGGGCTTATCACCTGCGCTCACCCGATACTGAGGGGCAATTTGCAGGGAACGAGCAGGGGAGGCTTTCTTCCTCTTGGGGGAAGCCCCAGCCGGGGAGGGAGCCCTCTGCTTCCCTGCTTCTGGGTCCAATGCTGATGAGCCTGGAGCACTGGGAGGTAGGAGAGCCTTATCAAACAGGATCTCTTTTAGCCATCTCTCTCGCTGCTTGCGAGCTCGCGTTGTGAGTTTGGCACAGTGGCTGCATTTTTGTGGGATATGAGACTCCCCAAGGCAGGGGACAGAAGACCAGCCGGGGAGGGAGCCCTCTGCTTCCCTGCTTCTGGGTCCAATGCTGATGAGCCTGGAGCACTGGGAGGTAGGAGAGCCTTATCAAACAGGATCTCTTTTAGCCATCTCTCTCGCTGCTTGCGAGCTCGCGTTGTGAGTTTGGCACAGTGGCTGCATTTTTGTGGGATATGAGACTCCCCAAGGCAGGGGACAGAAGAGGAGTGTCCATCAGAGACAAGCATTGAGTCTCTGCGCATAGACCATTTTTTAAAACCGGGGGAGCCCGGCATGTCGGCTTTTTTTTTTTACTACTGAATTTAGCCCGACCCTAACTGAAGGAGTAACAATGTATCTCTTCTCCCGGCTTTTTCTTTATTTATTTTTTTTTAGAAACAGCTAATGAGCCACTTAACAAGCAAAAAGAGGGAAAAAGTAAACCTTTGTCTTAAACTTCACTCAGGAAACCTGAGGAAATGAAAGGAGCTCCGTCCCCGACCAGAGGCGGATTAGAGGAAACTGGCGGGGGCCAGACCGCGCGCGGTGCATGAAGACGCGAAACTGGCTCCCGTAGGTGCAGTCCGGCCAAATACAGTTCTGGCAAGCTCCGATTCACGGTGCCGGGACCAGCCCGACACCAGATGTGGAGCACCCATGGGGACTACCCGAAGAAGAACCTCAAATTCTATTTGCATAAATTTCTGCTCAGATAAGTTTTCAATTAAGGGCTTTGAATAGTTAAAATACAATTAAACTGCCTCATGCTAATACATTTGTTTGCAAATTGAGTTTCTTTCACAAAGTACTTCCCCCATAAATTGGTACAAATTAGCAATTTCTCTAGTCTACTTCCAAGAGTCACTGTGATGAGGTGTGCCCCATGTGATGGGGTGTGTCCCCTGCACTGGCCCTTTAAGGGTAAAACCCAGCCATGGGAGAGGGCTGAGAGAGCAAAGCCCCACAGCTGAGGCAAGTAATAGCTAATTAGGACCCAGGCAAGAAGGCATAAATAAAGGCTCCTGAAGGGTGGGAATTAGACTCACTCTTGCTGAGGAGCAAGAGGAATCTAGATGCCTCTAGTGAAGCTAGAGGCTTTCTGACTTAGAGCAGGGCTGGGGAAAGGAAGGAGAGCTGGGGAAGCTCTGGCGCGACCAGCTCCCAGGCTGCAGGGCCTGAAGCAAGGCCTGAGGCTACTAGGGCTGCAGAGTGTCAGTCTGGGTAGGCAAGGGCAACAGGTCCACTCCCCATTGCCAATGATGAATGGCCAATTCAATCCGCAGTTTTCCCTTTAGATAAGGGGCCAGACGATAACTGGCAGCAGGTCACTGAGGAAGGTGGGTATAGGGAACTTGGAGTTCCCAGAGGGGGAGAGGTAGATCCACTGGAGGGCAGGGATAGGATCCAGAGTGACCTAGACAGATTAGAGGATTGGTTCAAAAGAAATCTGATGAGGTTCAACAAGGACACGTGTAGAGTCCTGCACTTGGGACAGAAGAATCCCAAACATCGTTACAGGCTGGGGACCGACTGGCTAAGTAGCAGTTCTACAGAAAAGGACCTGGGGATTACAGTGGATGAGAAGCTGGATACAAGTCAACAGTGTGCCCTTGTAGCCAACAAGGCTAATGGCATATTAGGTTGCATTAGAAGGAGCACTGCCAGCAGATCTAGAGAAGTGATTATTCCCCTTTATTCAGCTCTGGTGAGGCCACATCACGGAGTATTGTGTCCAGTTCTGGGCCCCCCACTAGAGAAAGGATGTGGACACAATGGAGAGGGTCCATGTGTGTCCTGCTGCCAGCAGCTCCGCATGCCCTCTCCCACGTGCCTGTGCGGGGGTGGGCCTACACATGCGCCTTCCCCCAACCTGGGGCACAATTAAACAGACACGCTGGCACGGGGGCGGGGCTGCGCATGCATCCTCCCCCACGCGCTGGCATGGGGGGACACATGCGCCCTCCCCCAACCAGGGGCACAACTAAACAGTCTGCCTAGGGTGCCAAAATGGCTCGGTCCGGCCCTGCATAACCTATGAGGGATTTGGGTTTGTTTCGTCTGCAGAAGATAGGAGTGACGGGGGATTTGATAGCAGCCTTCAACTTCCTGAAGGGAGGTTCCAAAGAGGAAGGAGAAAGGCTGCTCACTGTAGTGACGGATGGCAGAACAAGGAGCAATGGTCTCAAGTTACAGGGGGGGAGATCTAGGTTGGATATTAAGAAGTACTGGAATGGGTTACCTAGGGAGGTGGTGGAATCTCTAACCCTCAAGATTTTTAAGTCTTAGATATGCCAAGCCCTGGCTGGGTTGATTTAGTTGGGATTGGTCCTGCCTTGGGCAGGAGGCTGGACTTGATGATCTCCTGAGGTCTCTCCCAGCTCTATGATTCTATGACCCCAGAGTGTAGGGGCGCTGTGATAGGGTAGTACCCAGAGGTAGAGAGAAAAATAGATAATTGTGGGTGAAACACTGGCTGAAAGGGGGTGCTCCAGGACTGAATAAGCTAACTTCCATCTAACTAGCAGGAACCACCCATGGCAGTAAGGCATGCTCAGATACATTTCAATGTATAAGTATTGTAAGTACACATTAATGTTCCAATTGATTTCAGGAGCCACCCGTGGCAGTAAGGCATGCTCAGATACATTTAAATGTATAAGTATTGTAAGTACACATTTATATTCCAATTGATTTATTTTATATTGACATAGTAAAACTGAGAAATTAGCAACTTTTAGTAGTTTAAGTGAGGTGAAATCTGGGGGGACACTAGACAAACCAGACTGCTGAAAGGGGTACAGTAGCCGAGAAAGGTTCAGAACCACTGTTCTACAGGCCAGTACTTCCTAAGAGCTGGTCTACAGTAGAAGTTTAGGTTGAATTTGGCCTCATGAAGGTCCATTAAACGACGATTCCACACTATCAGTACTCTGGCTTTTCATGAGGAGTAACACTAAATTCAACCTTACACAGGTCAACTTTATGGAAATGAAGTTGCAGCATTGCTAAAGCTGACACTTTTTGCCTCTGGTAGGGATCCCGCAGTGCCTGCTGTGACCACTCTGGCCAGGACTTATGACTCTAGTGTTTTCCTGTTCACCTGAAGAAACCACAGGAAACTTTGAATTTAATTTCCCATATGGATAGTGTGGAAAGCACACCTCAGAACAGGCAGCTCATCTGAGCAGCACACCTGGCCATGAGCTCTTGTTCCCTTGGGTGCAGATGAGCACCAGCATGGAGGCTGAAGGAGATTCTGGATTTCACTGATGCCTAGGGAGAGGACTTCATTCGCATGGAGCTCCTAACCAGCAAATGAAACACAGATATGTGTGTGAAGATCACAAAGTCTATGGTGGAGAAAGGATACACCAAGGATGCCCAACAGTGCTATGTAAAAATAAAGGGGCTAAGGACGTCCTACCAAAAGACAAAAGGAGGCAAATGGACAGTCTGGAATATTGCCGCAAACATACCACTTCCATAAGTGGCCGCATTTGATCCTAGATAGGGACCCGACCAGCTTCCCAAGCTTGACTATGGAATCCCTCCCAAGACACACATCAGGGCAACATGTTGGAGGACAGCAGTCAGGATGTGAGCAGAGCAACCAATATGACAGAGAACTTTGTTATAACCTTGGAGATGGGCTCCTCCTTTCAGAACTTCTCAGTGAGGCACTGATCCTGGAGAAGGCACTTCTGGCCAGTTCAGTTTTTCATCTCTCTACAAGCGAGTTAAGTCAATTGAATGTGATGTATGGCATACTCTGTGCCTATACAGCACACGGGCCCCAGAAAAGCTTGTTAATGTGTCTGGAGATGGACTGGAACTCCTACCTGAACATCTCCATAAAGCACTCATACAGGAACTCTTTAATACTTCTCACAAGGTTTCTAAGGAGGCCAGCCTTATTCCATCCTCCACGGTATTTCACCTTCCCACACCAAACCACCAGAAAGTGGTCTGGTGTCATTGCATCACAAAGCATTGCAGCACAAGGATTAGGCTGTTGGTGACAGTCAGCATCAGTCAACATCAACTCCTTATCATGAGCTATGTCTACAATTGTGGGGGTTCACCCGTCCCCCTCTTAGTTTGTTAGTCACCGAGCACCCTTGAGGTATGCTCATA